TATATAAAGATGTATACATATAGATGTACAAAGCGAACCCTTGATATATCTTTTCTCCTCGTTTTATCTTTTAAAATAACATCATGTTGCTATATCGTTCTCGAATGGCTGTCTTACGTATGATTCTGAAACATCCTTTCCAATCTGTATCGATATACCTTTCTCTCTAGGATGAATAAAACTACAAAATCAGTGGATGTATTTTACGAATGCAATAAAGAAGCAATAGATGCTGCTCGAAGCCAGCCGTTACCAGATGGTTACGAGGCCACTCTAATACGCAACCCTGACTACTTCACGGACGAGTATTACCACAACTCGTCTAAAGAATATGTCTATGAATGCATCAAAGGTAAAAAAAAACATCATTATTATGTGGTAGATTTGTCTCACTTCGATGGATATAACAATGACCTTCACTATGAAGTATACAAAAGTGACAGTGATTTGGATGCAGGCAGACGCGATCGATCTGTCAACTGGGACGGTTCATTTAGAGAAAAGCATAAAAAATAACAGAAAGCAAACTTAAACATTTAAAACCTTGTTCCTTTTTCTCTTCATTCAATAAAAATTCAGCACTGCATTGATTATTCAAGAGTGAATATTATATGAAATTCTAAAGAAGTTCAAAACGAATAGTCACGTCACTTGTCTACGGAAATGCATACAGATTAAAGTAAATGCATCCACATGAATATGTCCCAACAAGCACGAAAGACTTATCGAGAAAGATCATCAAAACAGAACAGAAATCGAACCTGTACCTTTCAATAACCGGGGCTGACGGTGAGTTTATTAGAATAGTTCATTCCAAACATCTTACGACTAGTTCCGTCCTTGCTCAAGGAACTCATTAACTGGCTTAGTTTAAGATAAATTATTCAAAGACGAAGGGTATGAGTGGGTGTGGGTGTATGTAATAAGAAGATATCCACACCTACACCTCACACTCTTTTACGTCTAATCAGTTTGATTTAAAGAATTGAAGAATAAGTTTCCGTATCAGGAAAATAGTCTTTCATCTGCTTTGAAATCAATATATTAGGAGGCACAAATATATCAAGTAATTTAGCACAATTGATTCGTCTTGCATCTCTTGTAAAATTGTGCGTTACTCTATCCAAAGTTGAAAAGAAGACTTGGACGTGAGCTTTTTTGTTAAATATGTTTTGATATCCAATAGAAATTGTTTCACATAATCATCATGAGCGTCAAACAAATCAACTACCTTAAGATATGGATATTAAATAACTGATAAATGTCGATTATCATCTTTTGATAGTTCATCAAATTGGTTCTTCTGTGGTTTATCATTGTTTACAGTTAATCGTTCCATAAGTGGAAAAGATTTAGCGATTTTCAAAAAAAATTCATGTTCGAAAGGGCGTTCGTCATATAATGAGACTTCACGAACATATTTAAATAATCCATCTAGGAAATTATTTGTAATAAATTCATAATGTTTTGCTTGATATGGATATAAATAAATATGACAATCACCTTCTTTGCGACTTTGAAAATAATCAACACATGAAATAATTTTATTATTTTTAAAATCATTGAATGAAAATTGACAATCTTTATTTGATAATAAATTAACTTGCTCGTTTAGAGGCAAACGTGATCGTATGTTAAATAGAAATTTCTTTAATTTTAACAAATGATTTGTAATATTGTATTTTAAATCATAACCATCAATAAATCTTTTCTCACAATATACTACAAGATGTAAATCAAGTTCTTCTAGATTGTTCATTCGATGTATAAGCGGCACAATCAATTCATTATAATTATCTGTATCCTTTTCAGAATAGAGCGAAAAAACTTTTAGGTTGCATATTTCTTTCCAGAAAAAGAAATTGATTTATTTGAATATATTAGATATTAAATTGTGAAATTTACTTTATTATCGAATGTTATCCGCGGAGTCAATATTCGATCGCTAATGCAATTCTAACAGAGTTGAAGAGGAAATAGTTGGATGAATTTGAAATAACGATTAATACCAAAACGTTAGTCTATAATGGAAATATTGTAACTTGGAGAATACACTTAAAATGCAGGCAAATGTATTTGCGTTGCTATTGTCTGTTATAGATATGTTTTTATATTGAACAACATCAATAACAAGCGATGAAATTTTATCCTGAAATATGCGAGTTAAAGGAGTTTCATCTAAATATAAATGCAAAATCAATGATAAAGCATTTTTCATACATATGGATCAAATTATCGCATCTATTTTAGTCTTTCTCTTTCAAAACTAAAGTAAACATTCGTTTTCTCTATCTGAATACATTGATTTTCAATGGCATTTATCTCTTACCAGTAAAGATACGTAAAGCAGTGTTCTTCTCGATATTATGTAAACTAAGTCCACATAAACTGAGATAACTTGTACAAAGAAGAATATCTTCCATAGACGAAGATTCAACATCCAACCATTTGATTTTATGATGAATTTCAGATAAAATTTTTTTAATAAAATCGATCAAGTACTTGGTTATCTAATCGATCAAATGAACCATCAGAACAACATCTTGTTATTGTTAAACGATTTGTAAAAATTGAATCATGTACAAGTTTATTAAATCGTTTATTAACATCTATGAATGAGTAGAGTGCTTTGATATTCTCTAGTTTTTGTAAGATGATAAGAAGAATCTCATCAGATAAATCATTTAACTCTACCGACAGACCTTCCATGTTTAACTTCACTTGTTTATAGATTTATTCTATTTGACCGATTTCGTCAATGGAAAC